CTGGTCTCCTGATCCTCGGAGGGGTATTAAATGTCCGATGAAAACACTGAAAAATTGGACAAATTGTTAACGTGTAGCAGTCAGAGATGGAGAAAAACTGAGATGAGCTCACCAATTCTTACTTGATTTTCAACAGTCTGAGAACAGAATGTGATCTGCAAGCTGCATGGTCTAGAAAATACAAAAAGAGACATAAGCCAGTGAGGCCGTCCTGAAAAAACTGAATTTAGTTGTCTTTTGACAAAATCACGCTGTTGAAGATCTTCTCTCCGTTGGAGTTTTGCCCAATGTGGCTCTTGCCTGCTCCAGCTAGCACTAACTAAAATAATTTTGTAGACATAGTGGGTGTTGTACAAACAGTGACCAAGGGGATATGTGATTAGCCTCTTATAGGGCAGAAGCCCATTGGGAAGGCACAGATTGGCTGCTTTGGCATTTCACTGGGTTTTTGAACACATATGGCTCTACGGCAGACCTATGTATCCTGGAAGCTAGGAAGTTAACCACTACCTGAGAGCCCACGTCTCAGCCATACCCTGTGGAGTTTGTAAACCAGCTGCCCCAACAGTCATTGCCACCTAGAAAGTCAATGGGCCAGATACTGTAACAACGAGATACTAAGTCTTCCATTTTGTCATTCTCCATTTTTTTTTCCAAAGCAATCACATATGTCACCATGAGAATGTTATACATGAGACCAGCAGCTGGCATAATGGCTATGTCGCTGGACTTGCATGTAGTCAACCACGATTTGAGTCCTGGACCCGGTAGCTTAAACTCATGCCGAGCACCTGTGTGTGCGTGCCCAAGATCCTGAAAGGAGCCTGGAGAAGGGATTGCAGCATAGCCATCCTCCCTGGGGGGTTGATTTCTTGCTTTCTGTCTCTCTGTCTCGCTCTGTCTTTCTGGCAAGTACACATGCCCTACAGCAAAAACCTCTCTAAAAACAAAAACAAAAACTTGATATTGCCTACTCTTGCAGGAAAGGTGTATTTATGTTTTATTCATTCATTAACATACTCATCCAACAAATAGTTATGGAGACATTAAACTGAACACTAGGTATACAACAATAAAAAAAAAAAGACAGAACTTACATTCTGCTTGGAGAGACAGATAATAAATAATAAATATGTAAACATGGTAATTATAGTCTGAGATGATACCTTGAAGGAAATAAAGATTGTACAGCAGAAAATAGGTAATAACTACTTAAAATATTGACATAATAATTGTACATATTTATGGGGTACAGTGTGGGTTTTTCAATACATGAATATAGTGTATACTTGTCAAGTCAGAGAAACTGGAAGATCCATCATTTGAAATATGTACTGGTATTTTGTGTTGGGAACATTTAAAATCCTACTCTCTTGTAGCTATTTTGAAGTGTGCAGTATATTACCGTTAATAGTAACCCCACTGTGCCACAGAAACCTAGAATTTAGTGGTCCTATCTAACTATAATTTTATGATAGTTATTTTAAATTAGTTCTCAACCTCTATTTAAGAAGTTGAAAGGCCTGGGCCAGCAGGTGGTGTAGTGGTTAAGGATGCTGGACTCCTACATGCCTGACCATGGTTCAAGTCCTGGACCTGGTGGCTTGCTTTCTCACTTTTTCTCTCTTGCTCTGTCCCTCTCTGGTCATATTAACATAAATAAATAAAGTTCAAATAAAATAATTCCTTAAAAAATAAAAGAAGTTGAAAGACTTGTAACCAGTAGATGGCATAATGGTTTCTTTGCTGGACTCCCACATAATCGACCACGGATCGAGTCCTGGACCAAACAGCTTAAAACTCATGTCAGGCGCATGTGTTTGCATGCACAGGATCCCAAGAGGAGAATGGAGGATAAGGGATTGCAGTGTGGCCATCCCCCCTGGGGATGTCTCTCTGTCTCTCTCTCTCCAGCAAGTGCCTGTGCCCTATAGCAAAAATCTCTCTAAAAATTTTTTTAAAGAGGGAACCAGCAGTTAGCGTAATGGCTATGTCGCTGGACTCCCACGTAGTCGACTGTGGTTCGCGTCTCGGACCCGGTGGCTTAAATCTCACGCCGGGCACGTGTGCGTGCGTGCCCAAGATCCCGAGAGGAGAATGGAGGAGAAGGGATTGCGGCATGACCATCCCCCCTGGGGGGTGATTTCTCGCTTTCTGTCTCTATGTCTCTCTCTGTCTGTCTGGCGAGCGCACGCGCCCTATAGCGAAAACCTCTCAAAAAAAAAAATAATTTTTTTAAAGAGAAGTTGAAAAACTAAAAAATGTTTACCAATTTGTGAGATCTCTCTGTGTGGAGTCCTAGTACTTGTGACTTGGTTAATCTTTCATCGTCAGACCAGAGGACGACTTCTCCAGCATCGATGGTTGCTAAAACTCTTCTGCTGCTTTAGAGAAGACCTCCTAAGAGTTCAATTATCTAAGGAAGTTTCTCTGTGGTACTCTGGAGAAGGACTACTTCTGACTAAAAGTTCTCATGTCACATCATTGGTACTAACTATCATCCTTTAGCATTTTCCATCATAAAGAGTAAACACCATAAGAGGAACGATGGAAGCATTACTGTATCCAAGTAGATTTCCTAAAGGTCTCAACTGTATTTTGCACTAACAGGTGGCCTTTTACTAATGCTTAAATTGATTAGGCTATGTCGTGTGTTATTTTAAACATGTAAATCAGGGTCCCTCATTACAAGGTTATAGATATGCTTTGTTTCTTTTTAGATAATTTTGTTCTCTGAAACAGCTGGGGGGAAAGGCCGGTTTCAAAATCTTTGGAAACTTTTATTTATTGGAGGAAAAATTTTGTTTCAAAATCACTTTGTGACTTGAATTGCTTCAAAAATATTTTACGCTCAAATGCCCAAGTGTGTTTGAAATAGAAAGAACAACGTGCCCATCAAACCCCCCTTTCATGGAAGTCTTCTTCCATAATCCTATGTGCCTAAAAATACCTGCCAAATTGCACAAAATAAGACTGTCAGATAAAATACAAGGCACCCAATTAAATTTGAATTTTATATAAACAAGTAACTTTTAATTTAAGAATATTTCAAAAACTATTTAGAATATACTTATACTAAAACGTTATTCATTGTTTATTTGAATTTCAAATTTAACTGGCATGTGGTAAATCTGGCACTTTACCCAAAGAAAAGATCCAAATCTGTTAACAGTTCATACTATCATTCACCACCTTCGCTGTTTTCATTCCATTCATGACTTAAGTTAGGTCTTCAAAAGTAAGTAGGGACCAGCAGTTAGGGCAATGGCTATGTCGCTAAACTCCCACATAGTCGACCACAGTTCACGTCCCAGACCTGATGGCTTAAAACTCATGCCGGGTGCATGTGCGTGTGTGCCCAAGATCCCAAGAGGAGAATGGAGGAGAAGGGATTGCGGTGTGGCCATCCCCCCTTGGGGATGATTTCTCGCTTTCTATCTCTCTGTCTCTGTCTGTTTGGCAAGCGCACGCGTCCTATAGCAAAAACCTCTCAAAAAAAAAAAATGTAAGCGAGGGGCTGGCTCCGTGGAGCAATGACAATGCACTGCTCAAGGGAAGCCAGATTCCACATGGCTACCACAGTTGGACTCCCAGCTCAGTCATCCTGATACATGCTGGGCACACCAAGTGCCCAAGATCTGATGGTCTGAAGAAAGGGAATCTGGCGGGATCTAGCTGTGTGACAGGTATTCATCTCTCTCACATTTTTTACATGTGCACACACGCATTCTATCATAGAGGGGAAATAAAGTGTGTGTGTGTGTGTGTGTGTGTATGTGTATGCCAGACAGTGGTGCAGTGGTAAAACATGATACCCTATGAGGCAGACCCACATGGGAAGCTGCCAGTTCATGACTGGAGGCCTCCCTGAGTATGGCCCATGATTCAGGCTGGCTGAAGCTGGGGGTGGGTCATGGCATCAAGACCCTGTCATAGGATGCTATATATCTCTGTCTCACTCTCTCTCTCTCTGTTTCTCACTCATGGAATCAATACTCTTTTTTAAAAAGCAAATAAGAATAATGGCCAATATTAGGAAATGAAATTTAAATCAGTTAATATTTAAAAAATATTTAAAAATACAGTTGCCAGGCCAGCCAGTGGCATGGTGGTTAATGTGGCTGGGTCACACATGACTGACTGAGCAGTTCAAGTTCTGGACCCAGCAGCTTGAAAAATACTTGGACTGCATGTGTGTGCATACCCAAAATCCAGAAAGGAAAAATGGAGAAGAAGGGATTGTGGCATGACCATTCCCCATGGGGATGCTTTCTCACTTTCCTTCTTGCTCTCTCTCTCTCTGTCTCTCTCTTTGTCTCTCTCCAGCAAGGACATACACTCTCTGACAAATTTAAAAACATTTAGTTGCTACTGGCCAGGAAAATTAAAAATGTGGGCAACTTTTATAAAATTTATATTTATAAACTAGATCATAAACATGTTCATTTTGGGGACCAGCAGACTACATAATGGTTGTGTTGCTGGACTGCCACATAGTCGACTGTGGTTCAAGTCCCAGACCTGGTGACTTAAACCTCACACCAGGCATGTGTGCATGCGTGCCCAAAATCCTGAGAGGAGAATGGAGGAGAAGGGATTGCAGCATGGCCATCCCCCCCCACCCCACCCCCATCCCCCAAGGGATGATGTCTTGCTTTCTCTATCTCTCTCTGTCTTTCTGGTGAGCACAGGTGCCCTATAACAAAAATCTCTCAGGAAAAAAAAAAAGTTCATTTTCAAGGACTTCCACCAAAATTAATGCATATAAACCTTGCCATTAAAACCTAGAATGTTTTCATTGCTTAAGCTAGAAGGCAATAAGAAATCATCTAAATTCTTAAAAAAAAAAAAAAAAAAGAAAAAGAAAAAAAAAAGAAAAGAAAAGAAAAGAAAAACCAGTTCATAGCTAAGAAGACCATGGTCACATTTTTATTTTGAGATTCATATCCGTTTGGTGTGTTTGCTTAAATGTACCTAATTCATTCTCTCTTTCTTTCCAGTTACCTAAACAAGAATAAATACCTGACAGTTATTGACAAAGATGCATTTGGAGGAGTATACAGTGGACCAACCTTGCTGTGCGTAAGACATACAAGAGAATGTTTTCATCTTTTTTCAAAGAATTATTTAATTATATTTATTTATTTTTTTTAATTTGCTATAGGGCACATGAGTTTACGAGAGAGAAAGAATGAGAAAGCAAGCTGCCAGGTCTAGAACTCAAACCATGGTCACCCATATGGGAGCCCAGTGCCTTAACTTCTATGCCACCAGCTGGTCCAATCTTCTTTTTTTACTTGTACTTTTTTGGAATAGAGGGAGGCATTAAGAAAAGAAGCTGTTGTTCATAGGTAGAGAATGTTCTCTTGGGTAAGGCTTTTGCTAGTATTTTCTGCCTTGCTGAATAGGCTACTACTTCTTGAAAGGAAGTCCTTGCTCTTTGAGTCTCAGGTTATCCCATGCTCGAATATGCCATCCTGAAGCCTGATCAGGCAAACACCCTGGTATAGAAGTTCTAGGAAGTCTTGTCCATGGAGCAGCTACTATTAAGGTGTACAAAAAGGTAGAAGGGAAAACCAGCAGTTAGAGTAATGGCTATGTCGCTGGATTCCCACCTAGTCAACCGGGGTTCACGTCCCGGACCTGGTGGCTTAAAACTCACGCCGGGCGCATGTGCATGCATGCCCAAGATCCTGAGAGGAGAATGGAGGAGAAGGGACTGTGGCGTGACCATCCCCCCTGGGGGGTGATTTTTCGCTTTCTGTCTCTAATGTCTCTGTGTCTGGTGAGCGCACGCACCCTATAGCGCAAAAAACCTTTCCAAAAAAAAAAAAGGTAGAAGGCACCCTGCAGAGAAAAATGCACATGAATGTGCAATGCCCAATATCTGGTCATACAAAGAAAGAATATAAATGGTAGTTTGATTGATATCTTAAGAGTCCCTGGGGAAGATGGAATACAAACATTTTTTAAAACAGCATGAAAAACATACCCACTTGTGATTTCCTCTAATTTCTACTCCCACATCCGATGAGTAGTCAAATTCTGTTCATTCTGTTTCCTTCAAGCCTCTATGTTATTACCATCTTCTCTACATCAGAGGACAGCTGGTCTACTCCTTATGAAAGTGGAATCCTGCACCCCAGAAATGCAAAAGACAATCTCTTTAGGGCCAAAAAAGAAATATTAGAGGCTCTATTTATACATACACTTTAAAAAAAAGGAACAAATTAACTTTTATTAATGTTTCATATACAGATGCCTGGTCTCAGGTCTCAAGAAGGGAATGGATGCATCTTGAGAGAAGAGTGGGTGATCCACAGTCCCAAAGACTAACACCTTCTCTCTTTCACTTTTAACCATTTTCTTTCACTTTTTGATTGAATGCACCCAATTCAGTGTTTATAGTCTTATTCTCTTCAGACATAGGCTCCACATAAAGGCCTTGAAAACCACATGAAGATTCACTGTTAACTCACTTTCAACATACTCGAAGGCATTGTGCAATTTACTTCTTACAAAAAGTCAATGAAAAGAAAAAAGAGTTGAACGTTTCTATGATAAGTCTCTGTTGGTCAGTTTTTTTTTTAACCTGAAAGATTTTTTTTTAACCTGAAAGATATATTTATATTGTTATTTAAGATAGAAGTGATATTTCACCAATGAATGAAGAAAGTTATTGTTTTTCTAAAAAAAATTATGTTTTGAAGACAGCTTTTAAAACAAATGTCTGGAACCATTTTGTTATATGATTTTCTGGTTAAAAAAACTGATGAAGGCAATAAAAACTCTGTTATAATCAGAAATAGATTTTTAACCTGTTTTTAAAATCTTTCCAATTAAGTTTGTTATGGAATGAATTGTGTCTCTCTACCACCACCGCAACGAAAATTCAAATGTTGAAGGCTTCACCTCCAGGACCTCAGAATGTGACTGTATTTGGAGAGAGGTCTTTAAAAGGATAATTTAATTAAAATATGGCTATTGAGGTCAACCCTAATTCAATATGACTGGCATCTGTTCAAGAAAAGGAGATTAGGGAATACAGACAGACACTGGGGATGCGTGTACACAGAGGAAAGGCCACGTGAGAAGAGTGAGAAGGCGGTCATTTGCAAGCCCAGAGAGAGTTCTCATAAGAAACCAAACTTACTGGCACCTTCCTCCCGGACTTGCAGCCTCCAGAACTGTCAGAAAATAAAGCCCCCCAATCCGTGGTAATTTTTGTAATATCTAGCAAAGTAATAGGGAGTTGAAACGGGTTTAAAATCCATGTGTATAAAACACAAAAATGAAACGCCTACTAATTAAAATACTGATTGACATCAGAGAATATCAATTTCCATAAAAGCATGTATTTCATTACTGAATTGGATTGAAAAATGAGACTTAATTTAGTGAGTGCAGCCAAGGCTTGTCCTATGCCATCTGGAAATACCTATCTTTGTGTGATAACTTCAACCAAGATAGCCATTTAAACCCAAACCAAAATAAACTGAACTAGAAGCTTCAAATAGTCATATCAGAAAGGGTTAAAAATAGCCATATCAGAAAGGGTTAAAAAATAGTTTTCAAAACTAAGCATATTTGAGAACATTGCTTTCACTTAGTAAAATCTCTTTAAAGAAACATTTATCTTGGGAACCAGCAGTTAGAGTAATGGCTATGTCGCTGGACTCCCACGTAGTCGACCACAGTTCGCATCCCGGACCCGGTGGCTTAAAACTCACACCGGGCGCGTGTGCGTGCATGCCCAAGATCCCAAGAGGAGAATGGAGGAGAAGGGATTGTGGCGTGGCCATCCCCCCTGGGGGGTGATTTCTCGCTTTCTGTCTCTATGTCTCTCTCTGTCTATCTGGCGAGCACATACGCCCTATAGCAAAAACCTCTCCAAAAAAAAAAAGATTATCTTCATTGTATTCTTTTAAAATGCATGTACATATTTGGTATGTTTTATAATGTACATAATATAAATAAAATGATACATTAGAGAACTTATGAACGTTCATATATTAGAGGTACACACTCAAATCTATTTTGACTTATAAATATGTGAGACTAAAAGAATTTATGGACCAATGTTGAGACCAGAACCACTCAAAGGGCAGATCCACTGTGAGGTAAATGGCTGCTTCAGAATGTACATCAAAGCAAGCTTCCTACAAGGAGAAAGTCTTGCCATGAGAGTGTAATCAGCCAAATGAAACAGTGTGCTTAGAGAAGGAGTTGGCCTTTGGTCCAGCATGAGCTTCTCCTCTTGCCAAGGACTGGTAGGAAACCGTTGGCCAATGGATTCCACATTTGGAGCAGTAGTAGTCTAGCTGACAAGGGTCTCCAATATCCTCCTACCTTTAGTTGGTCACTTTCCAATCCACACCCCCTACATCACCAAGGCTCAAATGAAAATAGAATCTTAAAACCTAATACTGGTTACCAATTCCCCACAAGATAGAGGCCTTGGTGTAGCATGTGAAGCCCTGTTATCATCTTCAGCTTTTTCTCTCATACCTCTTACACTCCTGACTAGTGAACCATCCAGTTTTAAGAGAGATTTTTGCTATAAGGCACATGTGATCTCAGGAGAAACAGAAAGAGAAAGAAAGCAAGAAATCACCCCTCAGAGGGGATAGCTAAGCAACAATACTTCCTCCATTCTCCTCTTGGGATGTTTAGGCACACCCATATGCACATGCATTTGGTGTGAGTTTGAAACCACTGGGCTCAGGACTTGAACCACAGTCAGCCATGTAAGTGTCCAGCGACATAACCATTACGCTATCTGCTGGTCCCAACCGAACCATTTTTAACCTCTCAGTTCTGCTAATGGTCCAGCCTATTTATACAGCTGGACTAAATTTTGTTCTTCCTATGGCCAGGAAGAAAGCCTTCTACGGTCTATCTGTATAATGGTCACCTACTGACGCTTTGGTATTCAGGTCAAGATCTAGTCCTCTCTGAAATCATTTTCCTTGGGGAAAAATGACCACTTCATCCTCTACGTACCACTAATCCATACATATACGTGCATCTCAGACTCCTGTAATGTCTTTATCTGTCTCTCCAGGAGATCTTAAAGGGTTGGCTTTACATCTGTTTTATTTCTACAGTTCTAGTTTATATTACAATGCCTGAAACACAGTACGAGCTTAATATGTGTTTGTGAAATTAACACAGTACACAATAAATCATCAAAGCATACTTCAGTAAACATCATAACACTTAAATAGCAGTCACAATTTAAAGCTGTTCTAGCATGTTATATTTAAAGAGAATGTGTCCATTTCAACTTCTCTAGAAGAGGTCAATAAAGCTGTCCATTTGTCTGTGCTGCTTAAAAGTTGTTTTGGGGGAACCAGCAGTTAGCGTAATGGCTATGTCGCTGGACTCCCACATAGTCGACCACGGTTCATGTCCCGGGCCCGGTGGCTTGAACCTCACGCCGGGCGTGTGCGCATGCGTGCCCAAGATCCTGAGAGGAGAATGGAGGAGAAGGGATTGCGGCGTGACCATCCCCCCTGGGGGGTGATTTCTCGCTTTCTGTCTCTATGTCTCTCTCTGTCTGTCTGGCGAGCGCACGCGCCCTACAGTGAAAATTTCTCCAAAAAAAAAAAAAAAGTTGTTTTGGAAGGCCAGCAGGTGGCGTAATGGTTAAGGCACTGGATTCCACATGGCTGACTCCACAGTTCAAGACCCAGACCCGACAGCTTGAAAAAACATGCTGGGCACACGTGCCTGTGAGCCCCAATTCCCAAGAGAATGGAGGATAAAAAATGATAGCATAGCCATCCCCTGTGTGGGGGTGATTTTTCACTCTCCCTCTCTCTGTCTCTATCCAGAGAGCACATACTCCCTATGACTAAATAAACAGATAAATAAATAAGAATAAAAAATACAAACATTGCTTTTGACATTTATGGCAAATTTTTCTATAAAACTGTAACAATCAAGTTAAGAGCAGATAAACAATGACTTGAAAATGCCTTCCTTGCTTCCTGGTGGCATTCCACCTTGTAGAAAATGTAGTAGAATATGTGTAGATGCCTGTTTTTAGAATATTTGCCATAAGGCACATATGCTC